TATATTTTGTGTTTTAGCATATTACGATAACTTCCCTACCACAGCCACCACCACCACCACCACCGCCACCGCCACCATTTTTCGCCCGATTTCAAGTAGATAAAATCAAAATATCTACCTTTTTACTGCGTACCCTCTATTCTCCGATGTATATTCTCTTTGTAAATATAAATAGGTGACATTGGTGAGTGGAGAGAATATGTCAAGATTTTGGTCTGGAGCGGACGCCTTATTTTTAGCTACGGTCACAAACGGTTGTGTATAATTAGATCCATTCAGGCAGACATTTAAGTAATAATAATGATAATAATAATGATAATAATGATAATAATAATAACAATAATAATAATAATAGAATGAATTAAAATATTTGTGGTATAATAATGTTTTGTTAATTTTACGAAATTCACTTGTATTTTACATTTTAAATAACTGATAGTACATGCGCGCTTAAATATTGATTTGTAGTTCCCTGAAGAGATCTTCCAGGTTTAAAACGAGCTCCTGAACTACATGCTTTCTCTAACAGAAACGTTGGAAATGGTTAAAAGTGGCTATAATATGTATTTATTTAATTTTATTTTTTATTCCCATATTATAAATCTTTTGATGGATTATACTACTGGATTTTCAAAGTTCACTAACTCTTTGTTTCATTTTTCTTCTTTTTATGCAGAAATGAATGTTTTTAACGAAATGCATCCTTCGTTTGCGTATCGATTGTGTGTTCGTCATTTAATATTGTTTAACCAAAAGAGGAGTGCTACTAAATACGTCCCATATTCGCGGAGGTTAAGGAATGTCCCATCAACCACGGACTGATCGTTTGTAAATGTGTCTCTGAATTATTAATTGCGACAGTTGAGGTGCTTTCATAATAAATGACATACAATGCAGATAATTTTAGTATATATATATATATATATATATATATAGTTTGTGTTTTAGGATATTACGAACACTTACCTACTTCCCTCAGCCGAAGGTAATGGGTTAAACGTTTTCGTGAGACCTGTGTGTACCTATGTTGAAAATGAATGGTCGATTACTGACTCAGGTTTGACATGTAAATGATAGTCTGTCAAATTGTATGACCTTATCATGTAAAAGAGATGTTCATAATTTACATGCCTGCAAATTTCGGTGAAACTACAATCACGCATCTATTTCTGATAGCCTGTAGAAATTGAAATAGAAACGCGAAATGCAATATAACACCTCAATGAACCACAGTAAATAAAAAAAATCAGATTAGGAAAGATAATGCTTTGGGCATTTTACTAATTATCACAGACTCACGAGAAGGCTTAGATATTGGATTCATTATTAATTGAATATCCAGATTGTATTATTTCATTCCGTTGAAGTCTCTACATTCTCATGCTAACATTTCAAACAAATCTGTTATATCTTCCAAGTAATTTACCGAAGCTTTGGTTTCGTTAAAGTTGCCAGACTGTCGGGGAGCGTGTTGCCTAATATATTCCAGTGTGACTGTACTTTCGACCGAATGACTACTGGGAACTTGGGATCCAGACAACCGGTTGCTCCCCTATTAGGGAGTGTTTTTCTGACCATTCGTCATACTTTGATGAACGATAACGTCACATTTCGTTTAGCTTAACGTAATGCCGGCGTGTGTTTTCTGCCGATAGAGATTTTCGGGTGGGCGAGTCCCTAGGCTGTGCTGACTTCTACGAATGTAGACCCATGTTGTAGCTCTAAAAGCCACTGCACATCAAAATTAAATTGTACGTCGACTGTCACATGATTGAACGAAATGCCAAAACGATGTTTCATAGTCACTGGTGTTCGTGACTTTTATATGCTCTTAAATGCACTCGCCCATGTATCCATTACTAACATGTTTTATTTGAATAGAAAAATATTGCAAAAATGGAATGAAGGCGTCAGTGTATATTTTATACGAACGTTTTATTTTTCAAGTCGAGTTTCATCAATATTGTGAATACTTCTGCATTTCTTTATGGGAGTGTAGGCATGATTGACTTCGAGAAACTTAAATCACTTTATTTCTTTTCATGAAAAATCGATATTACTAATATCCCACGCGCACAGAAGCCTCCGGCCAAGTGAAAAAAGTGTTTGGTTTCGTGACTCACAATAATACAAAAACAATTACGACACAGCCGACGACATAGAGCAGCAAGGCTCCATGGAAGAGGCTGTCTGTCATTAACGTTTTGCTATTCACGTATTGCGTTATGGAGCAGCAACGTCTTTAATATTCTTGGTAATGAGTAAATAAATACCTGTTGTACTGTACAAGCGGATTATTGTATATTCTGTTATTGCAGTATTCGTAAATACCATTTTTGTTAGATGCTTAATTTATTGCAGTGTTATAGTGGGTATTTTTCTTTGTTGATCTCCAACAGTTCGTGTGCTTCTTTTTTAAACAAAAATTGTGTTGATTTGTTTAGCAAGCCACTCATCGTGTATTTTCATTTAAAACTCTCTTGTAATTAGTAACGTAATCAGTTCACTCCAATGTATTTTCTCTCTACTGTAAATACTTTTTGAAACAGCTCTTCCCATGTAAATTGATATTTTTTATTGAATTATGTTGTTATTATTATTATGTATAATTTAATATCTATTATTAATAATAATATTGTTCATCCGGATATTTCGTGTTTATTCACGTCTCTACTGCAACATTTTCTCTCCTCCGCAAGGAACTATTTTGAGGTTTGTTTGCCGCCTTCTTTCTCGCAGCGCCTCGTCACAGGATGAGCGTCGCGTCTGCCCACGTCCTCTGCCAACTCCATGACGGCGGCGCCGCGAAGAACAATCTCGAAACTTGCAGGGGGCGGAGGGCGCGTGCTCTGCATAGCTGTGGCCCTTCTCGCTGTCTGCGCTTTCCTCCGCGGGGGTCGCTAGTGGTGCACGGGGTCCCGCGTATGTGAGAAGATAAGAGCGGGTTGCTTCGGGCGTGTGCTTTATAATTAGAGGCCGGATTTTAATGAAATGTCATTTTTTTTCTTTTCACTTTTGAACATTTCCGTGTAGTATAGACGTTATTACAAAAGGAATTTACCCATTTTTTGGCCAATTTTTTGCCTTTGTCGTCGATTAGTCTAATAAGTCTTTTTTTAAACCTTTTCCTGTTATTTTAATGCATTTTTTGTTGATTTAATCGATTACAATATAATTTTAATGATACTAGCTTCAAATAATATTTATGAGATGCAACAAATGTTCTCTACAGACTTCCTGAGTAGTCTGTTTCACTTCTTCCCTCGACATTGTAATCTCAGCCGTTGTGGATATGTAATCTAGGGGTCCTGTGGCGCGATTGTCGGTTCACCCACTTAAGGGATAACTAAAGGCAGAGATTTCCTGGTGAAGAATAGTAGCTCACTTGAACGAATAAAAGAAGCCTACTTCTATCATAGTGTGAGTGACCCGTTTTCATCACATCTTATAATACCATTTTGTAT